ATACAATTATTTCATGTACCTCAGAAGTATGATAAAGGTTTTTCTTGACAAAAATGATATTATTAAAAGATTTCATAACATTTCATCAAACTTGTTAATTAGAGTATATATATACCAATTAAAGTATATACATCAAAATTAACAATAAAAATTTCATAACCAATCATTCCATTACAAAATTTTTATTCACTTATTGCATTAGTTGTAAGAGTTTCAACTAATTCTTATACTTGGTAGGGGATACTAACATTAAACAAATTTTGACATTTGTTTTTCTAATATCCTAAAAAATGAAAAAAAGTAGTACAAATAAATTTCGAGTAATTTTTACTTTTTGGGACAAAATGCTCCACGCTTTCTTTCATAATAAATCATGGTAAATATTTAATAAAGATGATTACCTACTTATAACCATTTTGCATAGGTAATTATTTATTACTGAATTATTTATCATGAACTGAAATGGTTTATGTTTACCTGCGATCTAGTGAAGATTTGGCAAAGAGAAAAGTCTTAAGTCATGAAACTAAATGTTCAAATCATTTTATGATTTTTGATGCGTGCTACAAGCGTGTTTTTAAGTTTCTTAAGCTATTATTCTTATTTTATACTTTTAAGTCTTATAGACGGTTGACCCCCCTTCCCCATAGGTCCGTTTAGGGGAGCATGGGTAATTGCAATATGGATACACCCAGTGCCCTAAGGTGACGCTATGGATATGATATTTTTTACCACCCTCATACCATTCAGCCCTCGGCGCATATCCTACGATGGATTAGGTGAGATCTCATAGACTTAAAGTCCAATCTTCGTACTCCTTTCGTCGAACTTTATTGATTAATTCCATGACATAATAACTTGGTAAGAAAATGTCATTTCGCATTATTTTCAGCAAACTCTTTTAATTTATACCTAAATCATACGGCTGAATATCAAATCGCCAATCCACCACCTTGGGGTGGCCACCATATCGGATTTAAGTCAGGTGATTATTTTTTTCGTATCTCACTCAGGAAACCCTTTCATTTAATACCCATATCATGGGAGTGCATTTCAAACAGCCAGTCCACCATTTTGGGGAGGCTGCGATTTTGGATTTGTAGTAACGCTTCTTAGCTAGTCATGTATTGTCATCAGAACTTAGAGCGTGTGCAAAATTAAACCCTAATCGGAGACCGAAAAGTGGGTCAAATTTAGATTCCAAAATTTTCTTACATTCATAGGTAGTTACAAGTAAAGCTTATAAAACTGTGTTAAAAAAGGGCCTGGAAAGTACCTTCTCTGTGGGTATAATGTTTAAACGAGCCTCTGAAAAGGAGATTGTTGTGGCTATCCAAACTCCTTGAAATTGTTTTCTCTGGCTTGTTGTTATAACAAAATCTACTTTGGTAGCACCAGGTCAGTTGCAAGAATGGCCATTAAAATTCCTGATTGCTCGAGCAGATTAGGTTCTGACTAGACTTCTTCTTGTATTTCACTGGAGATGTTAGCGTTTAGGACAGTTTCTTATTTATGACGCACGTCAATCTTAGTGGTTTAACATGAAGTTTAACAAAAGTCGCTTATCCTTTAGATAGTGTTGTTTGTAGCCGGGATACTTAGTAGCACAAATCCTAGCTTTACGCTTCATGCACTGGTGACGATCGACTGTGATATTGGTACTTTACTCAGGGGTATAATGACCGGACCTACTCAATTCTATTACAGGTGGCTTCGATTTAACTTTCACGCCACCTAGCCAATTCTACTACACTAAAGTAAATAGTTAGCGTATTTTGACAAAACTTCAAGCTTGTTAATTAATATTATTATTAGTTTTTAAAAAAAAAGGATCATATCAAAACCGTTTACAAAGTGTCAAGAATTAGAATCCAAAATTTTAAGAGGTTGGGTAGTTTTTGTCGTTAACGATTAAAACGCTTTAAGCAACTTTGCATTATACATTAGACATATTTATAATTCTGTATGCATAAAACCATAGATAAGAGCCCTAGCGTAATCATGATATCCTTACTAACTAGTAGGAGGACAGATATATTGCCGAAGTGTATATTTCAAAACCAAACTCTATAGTTGTGTCATACTTGACGAGCAGCTAGTAGCTGTATAAGTGATGGGTACTAATGATTGGATCAAAAAACCAATATATGAGAAAATTTAATCCAAATTTACCTTTACGCGTCCCAAAAAAAATTAAATTTTTTTCAAGGTACACCTTTGAAATAGATTTTTTCTTGTCTTGTGTACCCTTAATAACAAAAAAAAAATTGTGTACATAAAATTTAAGCTTCGTGACATGGTTTTTCATGGCACAGAAAATTGTAATACTTATTGTTTGGAAAATTCTGTGTGAGCAAGGACGAGTACTGCTTTATTGAACCAGCTTATCGATTTAATTCTGTACGACATCAAGTGTCTCTTTTGTGAGAAATCTGTCTCTTATAATTAAACTAGACTTAATTCTACAACAATACCCAGTTATTAAGAAAGTGATGCTTACAATACAGTTTTAAACTGAATAAAATGCACATAACTTCCATTGTATTTAAGTTGAAAAAAAATATTACTATGACATTGTATGTTGATAGTTTATCATCTTACATTAAATATTATATACAACATTTAAAATACCATGAGAAATCACTATACATTATGGAAGATTTTTTAATAAGACATCACAGTCATTTCCTTGTAGTCCGGTAGTTAAAGCACATAAGAAAATTTTCGCCACCTGGAAAGAAGTCGTTTCAATCGCTTGCAAATATATTTTAATAATTTTTCAAAATATTTTTGTTTAACAAAAGCGTTAACTTCAATTGTTTTTAACAAATTTTGAAAATTGATCAAATTTTTTTAACATTTTGGCTCATAACTTCTTTTCTGTTGGTCTCATTGGTAAAAGCATTACCATAAAATGGTTTGTAATAAAATTGTCTATTGATTAAGGTATTTTCGATTATTTAAAAATTGGTTTTTGCAATGTTACAAAAAAGTGTAACATTTCCTGTCTTGAAAATCAATTTTTGGAATTCATAGTTTTCTTATTTATTGATAAAAATGTTTGAAAACTTAATATTAAAAATCTATTATAATCACATTGAATTTTGTTTATTTTAAAAAATGACATCGCAATTAAATTGTTCATTTCAAAATCTATTAGCTCTCTCAAAGTATAAAAACAGGTTTTCTACGTATTTGAAAAAAAATTGATCTTGATACAGTGCTCTTTGCAAATAACGTAAGCAATTGAGCGTTTTTTACGACTGTTCAATAATTTTTGAATCTATCAATTAGAAAAATTTTTGTAAGAAAATCATTTGTAAATTTATTTTGTATTGAATATATCATGAAATCAGTTTTTTTTTTATTTCACTCTGTGCAGGCATGACCATTGGTGCATCAATGCATGTCATTTATTACTCACCTACCACTTACAGGCGGTAAAGTTTAAGTACTTATTGGTTGTTAAAATATATATTCATCTGTGTGTGTAAACGATTTGTAAAAAGTAAAAGCAGACTATCTGTAAAACAAAATAAGATACTTTCTAGTCTTAAAATTCAATAATTATTGAACAATCGTAAAATACACTAATTTGCTGATAAAATTTGTTTTATAACAATTAAAGCTGACACTTATGTTGGACAAAAATGTTTGTTTCAATGATACGACTATATTAAATTTGCAAGCGATTCAAACCATTTCCTTGCAGGTGGTAGAAATTTTCTTATTCACCATTTTTTCGTGCTTTAACTACCAGACTACAAAGAAATGACTGTGATGTCTAATTAATAAATAAATTATGATCTGTAGTTATTCCTTATGATATTTTCAATGCCATGTATAATATTAAATGTAAGGTGATAAGCTATTAACATGACACTTTATAGGAATGTCTTTTTTTAACTCTTGAATCAATACCATGGAAGTTATTAGCATTTTATTCAGTTCAAAACTGTATTATTAGCATCACTTTCTTAATAACTGGATAATGTTGTAGAATTAAGTCTAGTTCAATAACAAGAGACAGATTTCTTACAAAAAAGATACTTGATGTCGTACAGAATTAAATCGATAATCTGGTTCAATGAAGCAGCACAAGTCCTTGTTCCCACAGAATTTTCCAAACAATAAGTATAACAATTTTCTGTGCCATGAAAAACCGTGTCACGAAGCTTAAATTTTTTGTACACAATTTTTTCCTTGTTATTAAGGGTACATAAGACAAGAAAAAATCTATTTCAAAGGTGTACCTTGAAAAAAATTTAATCTTTTTTGGGACGCGTAAAGGTAAATTTGGATTAAATTATCTCATGTATTGAATTTTTGATACAATCATTAGTACCCATCACTTGTACAGTATGGAGTTTGGTTTTGAAGTATACACTTCGGCAATATATCTGTCCTCCTACTAGTTAATAAACATATCATTATTTTGCTAGGGCTCGTAATCTATAGTTTTATATATACAGAATTATAAATATGTCTTATGTATAATGCAAAGTTGCTTAAACCGTTTTAATTGTTAACGACAAAAACTACCCCACCTCTTAAAATTTTGCATTCTGATTCTTGACACTTTGTAAATGGTTTTGATATGATCCTTTTTTTTTAAGAACTAATAATAATAGCAATCAACAAGCTTGAAATTTGTCAAAATACGCTAACTATTTACTTTAGTGTAGTAGAATCGGCTAGGTGTCGTGAAAGTTAAATCAAAGCTACCTGTAATAGAATTAAGTAGATCTGGTCATTATACCCCTGAGTAAAGTACCAATACCACAGTCAATCGTCACCAGTGCATGAAGCGTAAAGCTAGGATTTGTGCAACTGAGTATCCTGGCTACAAACGACACTGTCTAATGGATAAGCGACTTCTGTTAAACTTTATCCAAAACCACCAAGATTGACGTGCGCCACAAATAAAAAAGTGTCCTAAACGCAATGTGATTGTGAACTACATAAATGTGATTGTAACTTTTTGCTTATGCTCTTGACAGGGAGATATGCCGAAAGTAAAAAAAGGAGCTGTGTACAAGAAACGTTATCAAGAAGAGGAGCTGTTCAAAGCTATTCAATATGTTAAGGATGGAAAATTTTAGAGAGAAGTATCAAAAACTAATGGAATTTTCAGGTCCACACAGCAGTTTAGAATGAGTGACTCCTTTATAAAAACATCTCCAGGCCCTTCTCTTGTGCTTAGAACTAAGAAGGAAGAAAAGATAGCTAACTGAATTATTAAAAGTCATGCAAAAGGATTTTCAAGAAAGAAGGAAAATGTCCAATTAAGCATTAAAAATTACCTTGATCAGTTGGATCAAGGCACTCTGGATATTCCTTTCAAAAACAATATGCCAGGAGACGGATGGTATCAAAGTTCTTTGCAAAGACATCCACTCATTACAGAGAGATTTCCTGAAGGTGTCACAGGTGCTAGTTTATGTATTTCAGAGAAAGATATAAGGAAATGATTTGAGCAAATTTACTTCTACCTAACAAAAAATAATTATTTGGATATTTTAGATAATCCACCTCTTCTATTTAATTTTGACAAGACTTACTTCTCTGTATGCCCAAAAATGAAGAATGTTTTAGCTTCTCGTGGAGCGAGTTACGTTTAAAAAGTTGATAGTGGTAAAATAAATTTAACAGTGTTATTTACATTCAGTGCAAGTGGTATCACAAGACCACCCACTATCGTCTATCCTTATAAAAGGATACCTTATGCAGTTGCCGACTCTGTACCTGATGATTGGGGGTTTGGTGTGACACCCAGTGGTTGGATGAACGACAAGTTGTTTAGTGATTACTTGCAAAATATTTTTCATCCATACCTGGTAGAAGTAAAAATAGAATTTCCTGTGATTTTATTTGTGGATGGACATAGCAGTCATCTTACTGTGAGAGTTAGTGATTTTTGCACCAAATTACAAGTCATACTCATTTATCTTTATTCAAATTCTACAAGAATTTTGCAACCAGCTGATGTTTCTGCTTTCAAACCATTAAAAAGCCTGTGAAAAAAAAGTGTTTTGAATTGGAGACAGGCAAATCCAACAAAAATGTTAAGTTTAGATATAATGGCATCCCTCTTACTGGATGCAGTAAACAAATTTTTTTCAGATACCTCAGCTGTCGTAAATGGTTTTAAGGCTTGTGGCTTATGTCCTTGGGATCCTGATGCAGTCGATTACTCCAAATGCCTTGCTCGTTGTTTCAGTAAACCAAACAATCATGAAGAAAATGATGAAAATAAAAGATTGCCTATCATAAATTTACATACTTTTATGCAGGTAACCAGTCCTCAATTATATCAAAAATTGACATTACACACACTTGACACTGTGGTTATTGGAAATTAATCAGAGGAGTTTATTGCTTTAAAAAAACTTTGAATGCTTTTTGAACGATCAGAGGTTTGTGCACAAGGAGGCAGCAGCTCACAAAATGCGTTAGAAAAACTAGTTGAACCAATTATAGTAGATACTTCTAATCGGTCTGTAGAAAATTCATGTGAGGCTCCAGGACCTTCTAAACCTATGAATATTAGTAGTTTGCCTATAATTTTCTTCGATAAACAGCTAACTGGTCTAACTAATTCATTAAATAATAATGTATGCTTAAGTGATAATACTGACTCCCAAAATTCTTGTGATGAAGCGTCAGCCAGTGAAGTAGGTGTATTAGATGTAGATAGTTATAATATTTTGCATGAACAGAGCACTCAAAATAATTTTATGATTTGCAATGAAGAAATTATTTTGCCAAATAAGGCTGTTAGTGCTGAACAAATTAGTAATGATTGTAATAGCCATGAGACTCATATGCAAATTAATTGTAATATCATAAATAATGTAACTCTTACAAATAGTATTAAAGAGTACGAAGTATGTGAAAAAAATCAATTATGATTCTAGTGGTACTAATAATCATGAGACTGATATGCAATTTAATTGTGATATTACAGATGATGTAAGTCTAGAAAATGGGGTTAAAGAGTACAAAGTACTTGACATATCTGCAAGTAAAAACAAAGAGTGTTCCAAGCCATTAACTGATTCATTGTGCCGTTCACTAACCCCAAAACGTAAGGGTAAAAAATTTACAGCTAAGAAAACATATGCACTTAGGTCTGCTGAGTAGAAAACTATCGAAATAAAAAAACTTGAAATCCAAAAGTTAGAATTAAAACAGAAAGAAGTAAAAGAGCTTGAAGTTGACCAGAAGAAAAAAATTATTGGAAGAGAAAAAGAAGTAAAGAAAAACATTTCACAACAACAGAAACAAGAAAGAGAAGAAGTAAAACGAACTTTGATGAGAATAAAAAAGGAAAAATTGCTTGATCGAGAAAATCTTATCAACGAAAAGCAGCCAAGAAAACGAAAAAACGATAAACAAAATAAGCAAAAAGTTTTGAGTGATCTGTCTAACAAATAAATAGAATTACTTAGTACTTGTTAGTTTTCATTGAAATCTAATTCATGATCAATGTTTTCAAGTGAAATCTAATAGTATTAAAAAAACTTTTATTAAAACACAAAAACTACGTANATTTGTATATAAAAATTATTTAATGGATATATACTGACCTAAATAGAATCAACAGATTAATTCTGAATAGTATCATTTGAATTAGTATTTTCATCATTACTGTCACTAACGGTAGACTCAAACGTTACATTACTTTTACCTAATTTGTTTTATTTACTTTTCTTTTTTTTTGGTGTTTTACTTTAATAACTTCATCATTTTTTTCGTCGTTCTTACTTCACTGTTCTAACAGCCTCTCCACTGTAACTAACTGATGAAGAACAGCTTTCTTTTGATAATACGCAATGATGGTGGTAATACTTCAATGTCTTGCAACAGAGTGGAATAATTGCACAAGGTATATTCTAAGTGAACAGCAAAAATATTGAAGATTTTTTTATCTCTGTTATTACTTTTTTAACTATCCTTGTTTATAACAAGAAATGTATGTTTATTATTATTCCAGCAGTTACATCATAATTTTCTTAAGTGAATGTATGACACATCTGAGTTTGACAGTTCAAAATCTTTAAAACGGTTGCTTCCCTGTCGAAAAAAGATACTTGTACATAAATTTTAATATGATTTTATAAGAAATTAAATAAACTATTTTTATAAACTTTAGCACATATAAATATACGTATGAAATGTATCACCAAAATAATTATAATTTTTTGCGTAAAAATACCAAGGAATCTAATAATTAGATTCATTATTCAGATATTAAATTCAATACCCCACTTATTAATAAAAATGTCGTCAGGATAATGAAAGATAAATGTCAGAAGAAAATCATGTTAGTATTTGTAGGATTTCTGAGCAAAATGCTTTGCATAACAATACAAGATCAAAATCCGCTGAAGAAAGTCAAATACGTTAAAAATTTTGTTGAGACTGCTACGATACTTTTAATGATTGTATTAGGAGCTTGTATGAAAAAAATCGTATAAAGCATCAACAAAACAATGTTAGATATCCTAATAGAAGGAGTAGCTTATTAGGTAGAAAAAGCTCTACGGGTAGTTACTGTATTGAATCACGCAGAAACGGACATAACTGTTTCAGATGAGCCTAACGTAAAAGGGTTAGTACTTTACAAGAAGTATTCATACCTAGGTAAAATTATTCTACTTTCTTGTAGGATTCCAAGTAATTTTAAACGACATCAGTGGTAGCTGGTATTACCTCATAGTCAAACGACAAATAAAAAACTTTGATACAGTAAAAGTAATACATTTTTACAGTTAGTACTCACGTTTATTCGTGCGTATTTATGCATAGCACATATAATGTATTACTATTTTTTTGCTTACTTTAATATTTTTGTTTTATAAAGATGGGTTTCGCAGTTCTTAACGTAATCACTGACAGTAGCTTGTTTTGAACAAGTCAATTTTTTGAATAGAATCTTAATAAGAAACTACATGATACCACAGCTTAGAAAAGTGTATAAACGCCCAGTGGTTGGATGAACGACGAGTTGTTTAGTGATTACTTGCAAAATATTTTTCATCCATACCTAGTAAAAGAAAAAATAGAATTTCCTGTGATTTTATTTGTGGATGGACATAGCAGTCATCTTACTGTGAAAGTTAGTGATTTGTGTACCAAATTANTCACTGACAGTAGCTTGTTTTGAACAAGTCAATTTTTTGAATAGAATCTTAATAAGAAACTACATGATACCACAGCTTAGAAAAGTGTATAAACGCAGACCTGAGATAGTTGCCAAGCTTGACGAAAAACTTTTTATTTTTTCCACTGACTAAAACAAGCTTGAGAATAACAAAGACCTTTATAATAAATGAGTGGATAATGTTAATTAATTTTAGCTGTGTATAGTGTATAACAGACGATACATTTTTCTTTTCATTTGCTTGATGTAAGAAACATGGAAAAATGATTGAAAGTTTTCTCTAAAGTTTTAAGTAATTACTAAAAAAATTCATTCTATGTACCAATGTTATTCTTATTTAATACCAATTACAATCTTAATATATCAAATTATAAGTGATTCTTAAAAATTTTAGTTATTAATTCCATTTCTATATGGTATAAATCAGGACACTTTGTTTCCTGCAGTACTTGTTTGTAGGAATCAGGTTGATGTTAGTAATCTTCAAGATAATACGTTGTTAAATTTGTTGCCACCACTCGTGTGATTGTAAACATGTCAGTCAAGCAATTTGGCGTTAACCATTTATTAGTTCTGGTTTCGTTTTGATTACTTTCAACATTTTAGAATTTAGGCTTTAATTTTATGCTATTTGAATGTTTTTTTTAACTTCTTTATGTCTTATACCTTATATTTAGTAAGATTATACAGCTCAAACTAATCATTCGATGTTTTCTGTAATTGTAAGATCTAATTGATGTTTGTGACAAATTGAGCCATTTTTAGTTGCCTTGTAAGCTACACTTTTTTTACATTAAATCTTATAGAATATGGTTCAACTGCTTGCACATGAAAATATTAGGAATACTGTAAGTTAAGTATAAATTTATTTTATATTTTTGCAAGAGATTTTAGACGTTTGCATTGTATAATTCTTTGCCACGATCAAGTTGCATG